CTTGGCAGGGGGTTGGACTGGATGGCCCATGAGGTCTCTTCCAACTCTTTGATTCTATGATTCTAAGATGTTGTGATCAGCGTGAATGCTGAGGAACGGATCATCTAAGTGCTAAGTAATAATAATATTGAGTCTCAGTTAACCAGCATGCATGGGAAATTTATATATGCCATATGATCCTGGGAATTATAGTTTTGTCATGTCTTTCGCCTTCTCTGGGTGCGTCTAAATTGTAGAACTGATTCAGCCTGACACCACTTTAACTGCTGTGGAATCCTGGGAAGTGTAGTTTTGCAATGTCTTCTCTGCCCAAGAGCACTGGGGTCTCTCCAAACTACAACTTCCATAGTATTTGAGTTCCCTCAGGTCAGTGATTCTCAACTTTCCTGAGGCTGTGATCCCTTAATACAGTTCCTCATGTTGTGGTGACCCCTAACAATAAAATTCTTTTCGTTGCTATTTCACAACTGAAATTTTGCTACTGTTATGAATCGTAATGTAAATATCTGATATGCAGAATGTATTTTCATTCACTGGACCAAATTTGTCACAAATACCCGATATGGCCAAATCTGAATACTGATGGGGTTGGGGGTGGGTTGATTTTGTCATTTGCGAGTTGTAGTTGCTGGGATTTATAGTTCACCTACAATCAAAGAGCATTCTGAAATCCACCAACGATGGAATTGGGCCAAACTTGGCACACAGAACTCCCATGACCAACAAAAAATACTGGGATGGTCTGGTGGGCACTGACCTTGAGTTTTGGAATTGTAGTTCACCTACATCCAAAGAGCACTGTGGATCAAACAATGATGGGTCTGAACAAAACTTGGCACGAATACTCAATATGCCCAAATGTGAACACTGGTGGAATTTGGGGAAAATAGACCTTGGCATTTGGGAGTTGTCATTGCTGGGATTTATAGTTCACCTACAATCAAAGAGCATTCTGGACCCCACCAATGATGGAATTGGGCCAAACGTCCCACACAGAACCCCCATGACCAAAAGATTTTGTTTTCTGGTGGTCTTTGGTGACCCCTCTGACACCTCCTCGTGATACGCTCCCCCACAGGGGTCCCAACCCCTCTAGGTTCAACTACATTGTAGAACGGATGTAGCCTGACACCACTATAACTGCTGTGGAATACTAGGAAGTATAGTTTTGCAATGTCTTCTCTACCCAAATGTGCCAGGTCCTCTCGAAATGACAGCTCCCATAGTATTTAAGTTTCCTCTTTGGGGGAGTGCTATATAAATAAATAAATTCGTGATGGCACCACAATTCCAAAGTTTTTTGAAATTTTGCTACTGTTATGAATCGTAATGTAAATATCGTAATGAAACCGATTATCTGGATCACGCTCAATCTGGTTTCAGGCTTGACTAAGGGACAGATATGGCATTGATCGCCTTGGTAGATAATCTACGCAGGGAACTGGACAAGGGGAGCATGTCCCTGGACCTCTCAACGGCTTTCAGTATCCTCAATCATGATATCCTTCTGGGTTGTGTCTCTGGGATGGGACCGGGCGGCACTGTTTTACAGTGTCTCCGCTCCTTCCTGGAGGAACGTACCTAGATGGTGGAGCTGGGGAATCCTGTTTGACTCCCTGGCCAATCGTCTGTGGGGTTCCTCAGGGTTCAGTTCTGTCCCACATGCTATTTAATATCTATATGAAACTACCAGGAGAGACTATATTATTCCTTTCCACTGAAAGCCAAGGATACCATCCTGCCCCCAAACTGGTGCCTGTCATCAGTGATGGACTGGATGAGAGCTAATAAGTTGAACGTAAATCCAGACATGAACTGTGGTGTTGGAGGAAAGTTCTGAGAGTGCCTTGGACTGCGAGAAGATCCAACCAGTCCATCCTCCAGGAAATAAAGCCTGACTGCTCATTGGAGGGAAGGATACTAGAGAAGACAATTATGCTGGGGAAAGTGGAAGGTAAAAGGAAGAGGGGCCGACCAAGGGCAAGATGGATGGATGGCATCCTTGAAGTGACTGGACTGACCTTGAAGGAGCTGGGGGTGGTGACGGCCGACAGGGAGCTCTGGCGTGGGCTGGTCCATGAGGTCACGAAGAGTCGGAGATGACTGAACGAATGAACAACAACAAATCCAGACAGAACAGAGATGCTCCTGGTCAGTGAGAAGGTGGACCAGGGTGTGGGACTACAGCATGTGCTGGATGGGGTTCCACTCCCCCTGAAGACACAGGTCCGCAGTCTGGAGGTGATCCTGGACTCATCGCTGACTCTGGAACCCCAGGTGTTGGCGGTGGCCAGGAGCAACTTCGCAGAGCTAAAACTTGTGTACCAGATGCACCCGTACCTTGAGAAGCCAGATCTGGCCATGGTAGTCCACACCTTGGTTAGTTCCTGTTTGGACGACTGCAACGCTTTCTGCGTGGGGTTGCCTTTGAAGGTAGTTTGGAAGCTGCAACTGGTTTAGATATCAGCAACCAGGTTACTAACTGGAGTGCCGTACCGTGAGAGGATGACTCTCATGCTACGGCAGCTCCATCGGCTGCCGATTTGCTTCTGGGCTAAATTCAAAGTGCTGGTCACTACCTATAAAACCCTGCAGAGGAAGCCCTTCTCTCAGTCTCACCCCCATCTCAAGCACAGCTGGTGGGAACGAGAGAGGGGGCCTTCTCCATGATCACTGTCCGTCTCTGGAACTCCCTCCTTGAAGAATTAAAAACTGCCCCTTCTCTCCTTGCCTTTAAGAAATTGCTAAAAACACACTTATGGAGAGGAGGACTAATACGTCTTGATATTTACCATGACCAGATATGTTAAATCCTATCCAGAGACAGGAATTGATTTCAGCCTGTTAGCTATTGGAAAGGTCCCACCTCTTAAAAAGGTCTTAGCTTTTTAAAATGTTTTATCTTGTTAATTTATATTATATGATTATGTTGATTATGGGTTATTTAAGTTGAATTTTTCGGTTAATTTTTTTTGGTATTAAGTTTCTAGTTAGGTTGCTTGTATATTGTTTGATGTATTTTTTAAATGCAATTTGTTGATATGTTGTTTGCAGGCATTGGATGTTTGCCTTATGTGTTGGAAACTGTCGTGAGTCCCTTCCGGAAGATAGGGTGGTCTACAAATAAATTATTATTATTATTATTATTATTATTATTATCCATAATTCTACGCAAAATAAGTCTCTCCAGAACTTTGTAAAGATGGCACGACAAGCAGATTACAGGAGCTGTCTTCATAGACCTGTCAGCAGCATATGACACTGTAAATCATCACGTTCTCCTGAAAAAAACTTATATCACAAAGGACTACCACCTCATACGCTCCATAAGAAATCTGCTACAAAACAGGAGCTTTTTTGCTGAATTCCAGGGCCAGATAAACAGATGGTGAAGACGGAAGAACGGCCTGCCTCAGGGGAGCATGCTCACTCCCTGAATGTTTGACATTTACACAAATGACCAGCCACTGCCAGAAGGGACAGAGAGTTTCATCTATGCTGACGATTGTCTATCAACACTCAAGCAGGGAGCTTTGAAAGGGTTGAACAGAAGCTCTCTGAAGCTTTAGGTGCTCTTACTGCCTATTACAGGGGAAACCAGCTGATTCCTAATCCATCTAAAACACAGACACGTGCTTTTCACCTAAAGAACAAACAAGCACATTGAGCTGTGAGGATTACCTGGGAAGAAATCCCACTGGAGCATTGTAGCACACCCAAACACCTGGGAGTTACCCTGGACCATGCTCTGACTTACAAGAAGCATTGCTTGAATATCAAGCAAAAAGTGGGTGCAAGAAATAGTATCATACAAAAGCTGGCTGGCACAACCTGGGGATCACAACCAGACACAGTGAAGACATCTGCCTTTGCACTTTACTACTCTGCTGCTGAATACGCATGCCCAGTGTGGAATACATCTCACTACATTAAAACAGTGGATGTGGCTCTTAATGAGATATGTTGCGTTATCACAAGATGTCTACACCTAACACCACTGGAGAAATTATACTGTTTAGCCAGTATTGCACCCCCTGATATCCGTTGAGAAGTAGCAGCCTGATATCCCCTGTTTGATATCCCCTGTTTGGATATCAATGCATTAAGTCAAGAATGAGTTTTCTAAGACCTACAGAGATATTTGCAGGAACACCTCAGCAAGCAAGAGTCCAAAAGTAGCAGGCCAAAACCCGGAACCTCAACCCATGGCTGATACCGAATGAGAGACTCCCTCCTGGGCACACAGAAGACTGGGCAACTTGGAAGGCGCTGAACAGTTTTCACTCTAGCACCACGAGATGCAGAGCCAACCTCAAGAAATGGGGTCACAAAGTGGAGCCCATGACATGCGAGTGCAGAGAAGAGCAAATTACAATGCAGTCTGAGCCCTGCCACATGCACAATGGAGGACCTTCTGATAGCAATGCCAGAAGAACACCAAGTGGCCAGCTACTGGTCAAAGGACATTAGTATAATGCCAAGTGTTTTTGAATACGTTACAGCTGTACCCTCGGTTTGCTTCTGATACGATAAATAAATAATATTATTATTATTATTAAAGTGGTATCAAACCGCATTCATTCAGCAGTCGGGATGCACCTTTGGTATTGCAAAAGAGGTTGGTTTGGAAGATAAACGGAGACAATCTTATCTTGCTGCTGTAACGATAAAAAATGGACATGTTTGTTTTTTTCCTTTCCAAACCCCGCAACGTGTGAAAGCTCTCCATCTCGACTGGTGGCCCTTTGTACACTCTCAGAGGCAACTTGGTTGGATCCGTGTTATCGAAAAGCAGCAGAGCAAGGCAGAAGGAAGGGAAATAGCTGTCTTTCTGTAAAGCCAGCAAGAGATCCAGCAAGCGCCTACCAAGGCAAGTTATTCCCTGGGAATATATAGAATACGTTCGAAAGAGCAAGGCAAAGCGGCATGCGGTTACGGGGCAGACCGTGGGACTTGTGGTTCCCCAACAGGGCCAGGAAGGGAACCAAGATGCGACCTACCCGCCTTCATCATCCCACCGTCCGCCAGTTTCGCGGGGCTGTTGGAGGCCTTGCTGCCGGCTTCGGGCGGAGGAAAAAAAAAGAGGGGGGGAAATATGGGAGTTAAATGTTGGGAAGCATTTTGGGAAGCTGCATCTATATGGCGGAAAGAGTGTGCTTTAGTGCCATGGCTCCTGGGAGTACTAGTTTTGAAAGATTACAGGGAAACTACAAATTCCCAGGCACCCAAGGTGGTCAAAGTGGGGTCAAGCTGCACAGATTCCCCTTGACTGTGGAAACGGGAAACCGTGGATAATGGCAAACCCTAGGATGTGGTTGGTTAGTCTCAACAATAAAACAGAAGCATTGCATTAATGGTTGAGTCAACGCAGAAGTATGTTCCATTGATTCATTGGGTCTACCTGGATTCAGACTCATATCCATGTTCTCTATGTAGGCCCATCACAGCCAATCCTATAGAGTCCAGGGATTTGTAGCTGAACTACAACTCCTATTCCAAGCCCCCCACCAAACGAGGAATCCCATTTGGCGTTTAAAGCACTGTGAGGCAAGGATCGTTGCATAGTGGAGATCTATCCTCAATCTGGAAGGAGGAGAGGTCCCTCTTTCCTTTGAGAGAAACCACAGGATGCTTCTGCTTTGATTACAAATGGGATTTTGGCATCAAGGAAGTGACGTCCTTACCTTTGGCCGAGCCCAGCGGAGTCTGTGGAAAGACAGAACATGGATGAGTTAGTGGAAGAAATGACTTCAGGCATGCAATGATCCTGTCTTGCACTGATAGCGCACATTTCCAAATCATAGACACAGTCTGTCTAGTTCTCGTTTTGCACAGGAGATGCATAATAATAATAATAATAATAATAATAATAATAATAATAATAATAATAATAATAATAATGCTGGGACAGACCTCAAGAGCCATCTAGTCCAACCTCATTCTGCATTAATGCAGGGAAAGACCAATCAAAGTCCTCCCAACAGATGGCCATCCAGCTTCAATAACAACAACAATAACAATACAGTTGGAACAGACCTCAAGAGKCATCTAGTCCAACCCCATTTGGCACAATCAAAGCCCTACTGAGAGATGGCCATCCAGCCTCAACAACAACAACAACAACAACAGAGTTGGAAGAGACCTCAAGAACCATCTAGTCCAACCTCATTCTACATTCATGCCGGGAAAGCACAATCAAAGCCCTCCAGACAGATGGCTATCCAGCCTCAGTAACAACAGCAACAACAACAGTTGGAAGAGATCTCAAGAGCCATCTAGTCCAACCCCATCCAGCTTCAATAGCAACAACAATAACAATACAGTTGGAACAGGCCTCAAGAACCTTCTAGTCCAACCCCATTTGGCACAATCAAAGCCCTCCTGACAGATGGCCATCCAGCCATAACAATAACAATTGAGTTGGGGGAGACCTCAAGAGCCATCTAGTCCAAGCTCATTCTGCATTAATGCAAGGAGAGCACAATCAAAGCCCTCCTGACAGATGACCATCCAGCCTCAATAATACTAATCTATGCACATAATAAAAGTGAAAATATGTATGTGTCTATGTGGCTCGAATGTCCACTTACACAAACAAGTTCCTGCCACTACAAACAGCTATAGCTTCTACTACTCAGGAGACACCAAACCCCCATGACCAACAAAAAATACTGAAGGTCTTTGGAGGAATTCAGAGGAGTTGTAGTTCACCTGCATCCAGAGCGCACTACAAACCCAAACAATGATGGATCTGGACCAAACTTGGCATGCATACCCAATATGCCCAAATTTGAATACTGCTGGGTTTTGAGGGAAATTGGCCTGGACATTTTGGAGTTGTAGATATGGGGATGTATAGTTCACCTGCAATCCATGAACTCCACCAAAGATGGAATTGGACCAAACTCGGCACACAGAGCCCCCATGACCAGAAAAAAAAATACTTGAAGTCTTTGGGGAAAATTCACCTTGATCTGAGGGAGTTGTAGTTCACCTACATTCAGAGAGTACTGTGAACCCAAAAACCGATGGATCTGGTCCAAACTTGGCACACAGACCTGATATGCCGAAATCTGATTACTGGAGGGGTTTGGGGGGAACTGACCTTTCTTTCTGCGAGTAATAGTTCACCCACAACCAAAGACACAGTGACCTCCACTGATGATGGACCTGGACCAAACTTGGCACACAGAGGCCTCATGACTAACTCAACCTACCGAAGGGGCTTGAGGGGACTGACTTTCCATAGTGGGAATTGCAGTTTACTCTACAGCGAGAAAGCACACTGAACCCCACTGATGATACATCCAGAGCAAACTTGCCCAACATAACAAACTTTAAGTACTGATGGAGTTTCCTGGGGTTAACCTGGCATGATGTGAGTTGTAGTTCACCCACAACCTTATGCATTTTGTAAAATGAAAAATTGCCATTCAAACAACCTAGGCAACACCAGATACCCAAGCTAGTAATAATAACAGAGTTGGAAGATATGTCAAGAATCATCTAGTCCAACCCCATTCTGCATTCATACAGGGAAAGTACAAACAAATCCCTCCTGACAGATAGCCATCCAGCCTCAATAATAATAATAATAATAATAATAATAATAATAATAATAATAATAATAATGCTGCAAAGACTCTGGTACAAGCCAGTAAAGATGGTCCCAGTGGTGATCGGCATACTGGGTGCAGTGCCTAAAGACCTTGGCCTGCACTTAAACACAATCGGCACTGACAAAATTACCATCTGCCAGCTGCAAAAGGCCACCTTACTGGGATCTGCACACATTAGTCGTCGATACATCACACAGTCCTAGACATTTGAGAAATGTCTGACATGTGATTCAATACAACAGCCAGCAGAGTGATCTTGTTTGCTGTAGACTCATCTTGTTATGTTTATAATAATAATAATAATAATAATAATAATAGAGTTGGGAGAGATCTCATAGGCCATCTAATCCAACGCTTCTGCCACGAAGGAAAAGCACAAGCTGAAGATGCCTAATATTTAGGCAGAATCTTTTGATATGCTGCTGAATTGAGGTCCATACATCCTCAACGGTCGCTCTCCATCCCTACTATTGGCCTATGTCTCCTTGTTTCTGTCATACAACCCCAGAGAAGGTGAGGAAGGGCTGACCTTGGGGGTGAGCTGTAGCTTCTCCTCCTTGGCGGTCTCCTCGGCCACGCTCTCTTTGGTGGATGAGGCCGAGATGCCGTTTTCCAGCTGCTCCAGTTCTTTCTCTAACCTGCAGCAAGAAGGAAATATTGGGTTTGTCACTGAAGGCACCCTCAAATCACTCTGGAGGAGCTAGAGATCCATAGAGAGGAAGTTCTGCTGGGAATCTCTAGCTTCTCCAGTATGACTCATTCAAGGTCCAACAGAAGGATCTGCAAGTGCCATGTAGTCCAACCCACAAAATAGTACTCAAGGAAACCACCCCTGAAAGATGTCCATCCAACCAAGGTGTAAAGACCTTTGTAGATCATAAAGCCATTGAAAGTTGGAAGGGACTCCCAAGCCTTATCTTCTCCAACCCATGAAATAGTACCCAATAAAACTACTCTTGAAAGATGTCCATCCAACCATGGTTTAAAGGCCTTCATAGATCATAAAATCATTGAAAGTTGGAAGGGATCCCCAAGTGCCATTTAGTCCAATCCAACAAAACCACACCTGAAAGATCTCCATCCAACCAACATTTCAAGGCCTTCAACATTCATGAAACCCTTGAAGGAGTTGGAAGGGACCTCAAGGGCCATCTTGTCCAACCCAACAAAACCACTCTTGAAAGATGTCCATCCAACCAATGCTTCAAGACCTCCATAAAACCATCAAAAGTTGGAACACACCTCAAGGGCCATCTAGTCCAACCCATAGTCCAACAAAACTCTTGAAAGATGTCTGTCCAACCAATGTTTCAAGGCCTACAAAGATCATGAAACCATTGAAGGAGTTAGAAGGGACCTTTCAAGGGCCATCTAGTACAACCCAACAAAACGACTCTTGAAAGAGGTCCATACAACCAACATGTCAAGGCCTTCAAAGATCATGAAACCATTGAAGGAGTTAGAAGGGTTCTCAGGGGCCATCTAGTCCAACCCAACAAAACCACTATTGAAAGATGTCCATCCCAGCAACACTTCAAGGCCTTCATAAAACCATCAAAACTTGGAGGACACCTTAAGGGCCATCTAGTTCAACCCATGAAATAATACCCAGCCAAATCACTCCTGAAATATGTCCATCTAACCAAGGCCTTACAACTATGTAAAAAATTGGAAGGGACCCCAAGGGCCATGTCGTCCAACCCATGAAATGAGACACTGAAAGAGATCCATCCAATCGATGTTTCAAAGACTTCAAAGATCATGAAACAGCAGAAGAAGTTGGAGGGGCCATCTAGTCCGACTCATGAAATTATACCCAATGAAACCACTATTGAAAGATGTCTATCCAGTTGATGTTTAAAGGCCTTCAAAGGTTACAAAACCACAGAAAGAGTTGAGATCCCAATCCCATCTGTCATGTAGGAAGCAGAGGATAGGAACCTAGAGCTCTCCGTCCTTGGTCCATGCCTTGAAAAGTCTTTCCACACCCAAGACTCACCTCTGGATGCTCTCTTCCAGTTCCTTGGCCTTCAAATCGTCCTCCTCCATCTGTTTCTTCATGGCCTCTCCTTCCTCGGCTGTGGATGATGGGGCCCCTTCCAGCAACCACCTCTCCCTCAAAGCCTTTGACTTGGAGGCAGAAGGAAAAAAGCAGAGAGAGAGAGAGAGATTACTAGAAGTGTGCAAAGCAGCTGAAATCCAATCAATAATTTGTTTCAAAGATTTGGACAGACCCTGCTTTGATTCATAAAGATTTTGTTTCGCAATCCGAATCTCTGAAGCTTTGTAATGGTTTCGTTCAGATTCGTTCCATTTGCAGCAATGGGGAAAATTTCAAGGCTTGTTTCTCCGCTATTTTTACAGCTGTCAGGATGAAACTTGGCACACTTGTAGGCAACCTTGACAACTTTAAGCCTGCCAAGTTTCAGAATGTTTAGATCTTCCACTGATTTTTAAGAATTTTTAAAAAGTTTTTACAAATCAAAGAAGGAGACCAGCAGAAAGCCTTGTGATAGGCTGACAAGGAAAAACAACAGCATGCAGCTGCTGTTGTCAGTCACATCAGTCCCCTCCCATCCCAGATAATTAGAGTATGTTACATTGGGGGAAAAAACACAGCTCAAACAACAAATCTTTTCTAATCTCTCAGAAACATTCTTAGGAATTCTGTTTTGTTTCATAATGCTTCAGAGGGAGTCCTGTTCCGATTAGTAATTCGGAGACTTGTATTAACAAATCATGCAAATCTCAGAATTACGAAACGAACCTCCGAAGGTTTGAACAGCCCTAAAGGTGACCTTTAGCAATGCACTCCATCCCTTTCCCATCAGCTGTGCTGGTGAAGGGACTGATGGGAGTTGTAGTCCGTATACCTTTAAGTGTTGCAACTGCCGCCGGTCATCTTCGAGCAGCCGCCGCTTGTTCTCAATCTCTGTTTGGCGCTTCCGCTTCTCCTAAAGGGAAAGACAAACAGGGAATGAGCTGGGTTCCATTTCCAAGGGGTGGTGGATTTGCTTCGGCCTATAGTCCAAACATTAAAGTCTGCGGTGGGATTCAGCACCTTGAGTAGCATTTACATTTCAACATAAAACCCAAATTGGATTTGTTGCCCCGCAGAACTGGAAGGCACACAATCAATGGGTTCAAATTACAGGAAAGAAGATTCCACTTGAACATTAGGAAGAAGTTGCTGATCGTATGAGCAGTTCAGCAGTGGAACTCTTTGCCTTGGAGTGTGGTGGAAGTTCCTTCCTTGGAGGCTTTTAAACAGAGGCTGGATGGCCATCTGTCAGGGATACTTTGGTTGTGCTTTTTCTGCATGGCAGGGGGTTGGACTAGATGTCCCACATGTTCTCTTCCCACTCTATTATTCGATAATTCTATGAATGGGAGTTTCCGAAACATGATTAGAGCCTGTGTTATGTTTTGGGCAGACTGCAAGTCCCAGAATCCCCAAAACAACAAGGACTTGGCTGTTAAATGATAGACGACCATTTGTCTAAACGTGCCAGCGGACATGAGGATTCTTTTCCACTGATGATACAGATATAGATAGATAGATAGATAGATAGATAGATAGATAGATAGATAGATAGATA